ATCCTAACAATAAAAATATTTAGTCATTTATAATATTGAATTTGAACATGTAAAAGTGAATGACATCACCACAAATTGACAATACCTGAAAATTTCTGATATTTTCCATTTCTTTTCTTTCTTTCCTGCTCTCTCCTCTTTTCTTTCTCTATTTTCCTGCTTTGACTTTTCCCTTACTTTTTTTTTTTTCCTGCTTTCTTATTTCATTCTCTTCTTTTTCTCTGTTTTTCTGTACGTGAACAGCCGTCTTCCTTTTCTCTTTTTTGTACCTCCCCAAAAAACCTAATTTCTGTCCTTGTGTATTGTACATATTGTAGTCAATAAAAGTCCCAGTTGGAGCCCAATAAATTTCAATATCAAATTAAATTAATTCTTCTTTTCAAATCCTTAGTTCTTTTATGTAATGCAAGTTGATCCTTAAAATAATTTTATGTGTGCAGCTCATGACATTTAGTCATTGTACTTTGAATTTTGTCATTTTTCGCTATTTTGTGTTCTTTTTTTTTTAATTCTTCATTAAACATAAAATTTCACCTACAAAATATAATTTAATATAAATTAGATAAAATTTTATTCAAAAGACAATAAAATATCATACTTTAGAACCTCAAATAAGTATAAAAACTACACTTATCACTCAATATACTCCTTACACTCATATTGAGTTTTCGAACTAACGCAGGAGAATGTTTGAAATGGGGAGGGCCCAAGTAGTGGGCTTGGAGTGGATTCCTAGGATTGATTCTGGTTGATATAGAATTTGTGTGACATGAACTATAGTTTTTGGATAAATTGGTGGCAATACATTACATCAATTGGTATTAGAGGTAGAGGTCTTGAACACAAGTTGATGCTAGAGTGTTCCCCATAAAGTGGGTGAACAATGCAAGAGAATGATTGAAAATGGACCCAAGGGAGTGCGGTTAGGCTGGATTTTCAGACTTGGTTTTGGGTGATATGTGGTCAATTGCACTAGCGCTATAAGCTATATAACTTCTACACATGGTTGTGGCAATACCCTACATTTAGAAGCTAGAGGCAGCTTACAGGAAGGGCTGAAACTTAGGCAATGTTTGATATGCCACTTTTTTCTAGAAAAATGGAAATTAAATTCCAACTTTCACACATTTTGGTGTTTGATTGCAAAAATTTCTGCCCACCCCAGGTGCCTGAATTTCACAAAATGATTGGTGGGAAAATGCAATTCCAATTTTTTTTTTTTTTTTGGTAATAGAAACAAATTTCATAATCAGTTGTAAGAAAAATTTCATTTTAATGAACAATTTTCATATAAATCAAAATCAAACGAACATTAAACTTTGAGTAAAAAAAATGATTTTGTAGGGGTTTTTTTTAACTTTTTGGCAATGAAAACAAATTTTATAACCAATTGAGGACAAAAATATCACTTTAGTGAACAATTTCTATGTAAAACAAAGCCAAACGAATACAAAATTTAAAAAATTTTCGGGGTGAAAAATTATACCAATCAAACACACTTAATTAACAATTTCCTGAAAATCAATTTCTGAGCAATTACTTTCTCTAAAATTTATTTTCTTTCCACCCATTTTTCACTCTTGCTATCAAATGGACCTTTAGTAGAAAATAATATATAACTTAATAGTGTATTAACTAATACAAAAATGAAATATCTACTGAATTTTTGCT